AGGAGAGAAATTATACAGCTGACACAGAAACTTTGGCGTGGAGACCTCTGGACCACCAGAATCCCTTATTCTTACATCAATGGGGACATCGGGCTCTTTGCTTTAGGACTTAATGTGCAACTTTAGTAACTGTACAAAGCTGGTCACTTCCTTAACTGTAGAAATACCTCCATCTACTAGGGAGCTAGTGCTTTGTATCTTGCTGGTCTCCGAACAAGGGAAGAAAAGAAAGCCTTAAAAGGAAGTTTCAGCTCAAATAAAGAAAAGAGCACAGCTGATCTCAGACATCTCATATTCAGGTTAGTTGTGTAAGGAAGTGAAAACTAGTTTCTATAGCGATGCTTAGAAGGCTAGTTGTTCTTGTCCAAAGAGAGAATTCAGGCAAAGATGAAAGGAAGTAGAATTAGCTATAGCCTTTTGTACCTGGGTGTGGTTAATCTGAATACTGCTTTGCTCTTACCCACAAGCCAATAATGAAATGAATGATGTCTAATGACTTTGCTTTTGAAGTAATTTCTTCCAGAGGAGAAGGGATAGGAGGGAGGCACTCAAAGAATACCTCTGATCGAATATATGTGTGTGATGGTAGTGGTGGGGTGGAGTGGGGTTGTGCAATGCTCTTGATAGAGAAGCAGTGCTCCCCTAGAGCCAATGAAAAGTGGTGTGGGATCTGGCTGGTTGATCCCAGCTAGGTTCACAAAGGAGAGATGGTTCCCTTAATATACCAGAGCCTTTTAAATGCTATGGAGGTAGGTCCCTGATATCAAGAGGCACTATTCTATCTGTGATGAGAGCTAATTAGCAATTTAGTAATTTGTTCTAATAACCAGCACAAGCCTGCCTAGCTCGCAAGAGCTGACCAGGTTACTGTCAACCCTCCTGGGCCCCAGGAAGCTCAAGGGTCCCTGCCTCTGCCTCCTTGCTGTGGCTAAGCAAGGGTGATAACTTCTCAAGAGAGGAAAATGCCCCAAACATCTTGCAGTGCCCACCATCAAAGACCACACACAAGTTCATTACTCAGGGTTTGTTCTGATCAGATGGGAGATACAATGGAAAGGATGTGGAACTTTGGGTGGAATCTGGATCAAATGAGGTTTATTAGCTGAGTAATGTTCGTTAAGTCAAATCACCTCTCTGAGACAATGTTACTTATTTGTAAAATGGGGAAACTCGGCTACCTTTCTCACTGGATTGTACAGAGCCCATTTCCTGGTGTATAAAACGCGTGCTCAATAAATGCTGCATAAATAACCTGGATGTTTATGAAAGTGCTTTGAAATTGTAAAGCATTATCAAATGTTAGTTGTTATCCAAAACCTCCCATGTTATAGACACATTTTCAGTCATTTTAGCTGGAAGTTGATACTGACTGTTACTTGGTGACTCTTAACATGCTTTATTACACTTTTTCTTCATATCACCTCACGTGAAGTAGCAATTATTACCACACTTTTCGGGATAAAGAATTCAAGGCTCAGAAAACTGAAGTCATACAGGTCATACAATTAACAAGTGGCAGGGCTGAGGTTTCCAACCCATATCCATCTGGCTCCAGAGCCTGTACTCTCTATAATGGCCCTTATCATAAAGTAAATGACCACAGCCAGAGAGAGGCTTCTCGATCACCAACTTCACCCTGAAGATAAATTGAGCTTTGTACAATGAGACTCAGAAAGCCAAAGAAAGGCTTGCAGTAGGTGCAACATGAGAGGCATGGGTAAAGGAGCAACTTGCAACTTGGAAGACTGAATTGGGTGGTCACAACCTTGTGGCTGGCCAGTTCCTCTGTTAGACTCTCCTGGACCTGTATACACATCTCTCATAGCACTTACCAACCGAACTGAAACAGCTGCTTTCTCATCCGTCTCCTCAATTAAACCGAGCATTCCTTGAGGGTAGGGACCATTCATATCCAGCTCTGTATCCCCAGTGCTCAGCACAGGGCCTGACACATAGCAGGTGCTTACTGAATGAATGAATGAGAAAAATCTCTCTTTTTTTACTGTACACATATTAAATGACCTCACAAGCTGGTTGGGAGGGTCAAGTGAGAAATGCGCTTGGAAAAAATACAAAGAATTATACAGGCAGGAGCTGCTTTGTGACCCCAGAAGAAGTACTATTTATTGGAAAACTGTAAATTTACTGAGATTCATTCATTCAACAAAAATTCACAGAGTAGGCTACTATGTGCCAGGCTCTGTGGCAGGGCCTGGATAGATAGCAACAAACAAAATGAATGTGGTTCCTGATCTCACAGCTATAGTTTAATGGGGGAGATAAACACTCAAAGTAATATTTAGTTATCAATTGTGATAAGTTCTATGAAGGAAAACCACAGGGCACTAGAAAGAATATAACAGAAAATCTAATGTACATATCAGAGAAGGGTTCACAGGAAACAAAAAAAAAAATCACAATCACCACCAGGATTTACCAACTTATTTTGTTTGCTTTTAATATAAACAGACCTTGATATAAACCATAAGGTAAGCAAGCTATAGGGAAATATTTGGGAGTTTTTATCTGTAAATGGAGGTAGGTCTCTCAATCAGCTTGTTTTTGTGAGGGCCCCTTGCCAAGTAATCTTGGCAGATAAAGACTGCAATTTTTTGTCTAAATCTACCCCACCCCCATGCATCTCAACCCATTAGCTTTAGGAAACCTAGATCCTCCCCACCTAAATTCTCCCCACCTAAATTCTTACCTTGGGGTTGTCTGTACTAGTGGTTTTCGTGTGGCTCGGAAGGTGACAAAGGCTGTGACAGCAGAGAACAAGATCCAGATCACTAGGAACCTCCACCAGTGCAGCTTCACTGTGAAATAGAGGGGAACAACCCACATCTGAAAGAGGGTCACCATCTGAAACACAAACACAAGCACTTCAGCTCTAGCCAGCTCCCTCTGCAGCTCCATCCACAAATCCAGAGAGCATCTTATGTGTTCCATTTCAGTCTGATCCTCTCCTACATTTCCAATTTTGGATAAAGGCACTCCCTAGGGATCTAAGTTAGATACCTGGGACCATGTTTGACACCTCTCTCTCACTCTTCACTCAACTGTTTATTGCATATATTCTTTCCTTTCCATTTGAGTTCTTGCTGTCCCTCGACTACAACAACTTCCTTGTTTACAGTCTCCCTGCATTTAGTGTCTCCCCTTCGAATCTATCCTTCCTAAGAGTGGTATCACTGACAAGTCAAATTCCCCACAAACTACTACTTCAAGGGTCACCTCCTACCACTCCCCATGCCCTTAGTCAGGCTATCCCAAATATCCTTTCCACCTGCCTTTCTGCCTGATAATATCACATCCAAGACACATGGAGCCTTCCCAAGTAAAATAAATGAGTTATGGCTTTCTAGTGCTCCAAAAGCATTTTCTTTTCCACCATTATTACCGTGCTTGTCTAGAGTATGAGGCTGGATTCAAATTAATTCTCTACCCAAATGTAAGCTACTTGCGAGCAGTCAGTAGACCATATTCATCTGTTTTCTATGCTAGGAAACTAACTGGTCCTTACAGGTCCAGATGACAGGTCCTCAATAAATTTAGATAAATAAGAGAAAAGCAAGACTAGAACCCTAAGAGGGAAGCACATTTCTGTTTTAAAGAGTATCTATTTCTCTCCAGATCTTTACCTCAGACTTGTTAGCTGAAGAGTTCCAAATGTATAAAACAGTCCTAAGTCAGAAGTTCAGGCCAGTCGCCTTTCTTCTGCTCCCAAATGCCTTCTAATTCATTCCCCACTCTCCCAACTACTCAGCTTTCACTAGATATCACTTGTCTCAGGTGAGTAGAGGGTGTTAAAAAAAAAAAAAAGATAATTAGCATTTAATGAAGGCTTTTTTTCTAATGTCATCAAATGAAAGAACATTAAAAAGGGGGGGGGGTAGCTATGGAGAGGAAAATGGTAGTTAATTTCCTGAAGTTCCATAGTACAGAAAACTTGAGAAAGTATTTACTCTTGGGGATTTCTAGATCAGCGCTGCCTAATCAAAATATAATGTGAGGAGTGACGTCAGAAGCATGGCAGAGTGAGAGAAGTCCCCAGATCTTTTGCCTAGAAACAAGCTGAACACCTAAAACTCATCAAATAACACCCAACGCAAACACGTCTCAATAAGTGATCTGTGCATAAGAGCTACCAGAGGTCAGAACTGCTGGAGGAACAAAGAAACTGCCTCTCACAGCCGGAGCTTCCTGGAAGAGCAGGGACAGGAGAGAAGTTGCGGCCAGTTCCCTGAACAGCCCTGCCCGAGAGATTTGTGAGCTCTACGCAGCAGCAGAGCCCACAGATGAGGGCAGAAAGCAAAGCGGAAACTAATAGCAAAGGAATAACAGCTGGTTCTTAGCAGCCACAGTTGCGGAGAACCCCCTCCCACCAACCCAGAAGACATGCTTCCCCCATATCCTCCAAGACCAAGCACAGTGGAGCCCTAGGGGAATTTGAGCAAACCCTACCAAAACTGTCACTAACACTGACAAGGATTGAGACCAAGGGTAGCAATCGTGACTGAATCTTTATAAGAAAAAAAGAAAGGCATTATTAAGTCTCAAAGCAGGGATCCAAGAGGCTTGGACGCCACCTACTGGAAACCAAAAGAAAAACATCTTCTTAGCCACAGGCTAAAGAGAGACCTCTCTATATAAGAAATCTTTCTGAGGGGAGGGAGGGAGGGAAAAGCAGAATACACTCCCATTAATGCCCAGGCAGAGAAATAGTCCATTAAACACCATAACAACCAAGATGACAAGGCAGTTCAGAAAGAAAGAGAAAAATATCCAGATAATAAGCTTAAAGACATAGAAATATGGAACTTAAGTGACAAAGAATTCAGGACTGTACTTCTGAAAAAAACTCAATGAGATCCAAAATAATTCATATCAACAATTCCATGAGTTGAGAAAACAATTAGATCAGCAGAATGAGATTTTTAGCAAGGAGATTGGAACTCTAAAAAAGAATCAAACAGAACTTCTGGAGATGAACACACTAAAGGAGATGAATGAAACAGAAAGCTTGAGGAATCAAGTCGACCAAATGGAGCAAAGTGATATTGAAGACAGAAATCTAGAAATAAATCAGAAGGAAGAAGAGAGAAAACAAGGAATGAAAAATAATGAAAGAGAAATACAAGAACTAGGTGACACCATCAGGAGAGGAAACATAAGAACAGGCATTTTCAAAGCGGAGGTAAAGGAGCAGGGATAAGAAAGCATTTTCAGACAAATAGCTGTTGAGAATTTCCCAAATCTAAGGAATGAGCTGGAGCTTGGTATTCAAGAAGTCAACAGAACACCCACTTATCTCAACCTAAAAAGGCCTTTTCCAAGACACATTATATTAAAATTGTCAAAATCAAAGACAAAGAAAGAATCCTCAAGGCAGCCAGGGAAAAGAAGACGGTAACATATAAAGGAAAACCCATCAGATTATCCTCGGACTTCTCAGCACAGACCTTACAAGCAAGAAAGGAGTGGAATCAAATATTCAAACTATTAAATGAAAGAAATTACCAGCCAAGAATAATGTATCCAGCAAAGCTCTCCTTTAGATATGATGAAGAAAAAAAGACCTTTCTAGACATACAAAAATTGAGGGAATTCTCCACTACGAGGCCTACATTACAGGTAATACTGAAAGGGGTCAGCCCACCTAAAACAAAATGACAAAAATTACATAACTATGAGTAAGGTGACTAGCAGACAGACAGAAGCAGAGTAGTGAAACCCTTATTAAGAACACGGCATTATAAGCTTAAATGATAAGAGAATTGCTACTGCAAGATAGAAATAAACATTCAGATACACGGGGACAATTTGAGATAACAATAACAGAAATGGGGAGGAATCAAAGATCCAAAGGGGAATGGAGTTAAGGCACATGCAGGAGAAAATGGACTACTGTATATATATAAAACTATCCTTTACATATTCTTAATGGTAGCTACATGCCAAAGATCCAGAATTGAAGTACATAACATGAAACAGGAAGGACCAGCGAGAAACCCACAAAATCCAACCAAATTAAAAAAAAACAGACAGAAACACAAGGACAAGGAAGCAATGGAAACACTGAGCTACCAGAAAGCAAAAGATAAAATGGCTATAGGAAGATCTCACATTTCAATAATCACCCTCAATGTAAATGGATGTGAACTCACCAATAAAAAGGCACAGAGTTGCAGAATGGATCAAAAAACAAAACCCAACCATATGCTTTCTCCAGGAGACACATCTCAGTTCCAAAAACAAATACAGACTCAAAGTGAAAAGGTAGAAAATGATATTTCAAGCAAATGGCAGTCAGAGAAAAGTGGGAGTAGCAGTACTAATATTGGATGAAATAGACTTCAAAATAAAAAAAAGTAAAGAGAGATACTGAGGGACACTTCATAATGATAAAAGGAATCATACACCAAGAAGACGTAACACTTACTAATATTCATGTTCCCAATCAGGAGACCCCAAAATATATAAAGCAATTACTAACAGAACTAAGGGAGAAACAGAACAAAACATTATCAAGGGGACTTAAATACTCCTCTGTCAGATATGGCCAGATCATCCAAACAGAAAATCAATAAAGAAATAACATCCTTAAATGACACATTAGATCAACTGGACATAATTAACATTTATAGAGCATTTCACCCCAAAAAAGCTGCTTATACAGTCTTCTCTAGGGTGCATGGAACATTCTCAAGGATTGACCACATACTGGGACACAAAGCTAGCCTCAATAATTATGACTGAAATCATACCGACCATATTATATGATCATAATGCTTTGAAGCTGGAGGTCAACTGTAAAAAGAAAGCAGGAAGAACCACAAATACATGGGGATTAAACAACATGCTACTGAAGAATGACTGGGTCATAGAAGAAATAAAAAGAGAGATCATGAGATACATAGAAATGAATGATGACAGTACAGCATCAAAACTTTTGGGACACAGCAAAAGTGGTAATAAGAGGAAAGTTCATATCATTACGGGCCTATCTCAAAAAACAAGAACGAGCCCAAATAAACAATCTAACACTTCATCTTAAAAAGCTAGAAAAAGAAGAATAAATAAAGCCTAAAATCAGCTGAAGGAAAGAAATAATCAAATTAGAGCAGAATTGAATGAAATTGAGAACAAAAAAAGAAATGCAGCAAAGAGCTGGTTCTTTGAGAAGGGTAATAAAATTGACAAACCCCTGGCTAGACTCGTTAAAGAAAAAAGAGAAAGGACACAAATAAAATCAGGGATGAAAGAAGAGAAATTACGACAGATACCACAGAAATACAAAAGAGCATACAAGAATACTATAAAAAATTCTCAACAGCTAATTTAATTCTCAACACCAAATTTAATAACCTAGAAGAAAAGGACAAGTTCTTAGAAATATACAACCTTCCTAGACTGAATCAAGAACTGGAAAATCTAAATAGACCAATTAGCAATATGGAAATTGAAATAAACATCAAAAACAAACCAAAAAGTAAAAGTACAGGACCAGATGGCTTCACTGGTGAATTCTACCAGTCAAAGAAGATTTAATACCTGTTCTCCTCAAACTCTTCCAAAAAATCGGAAGCAATACTTCCTAACTTGTTTTATGAGACCTATATTACTGATACGAAAACCTGGTAAAGATAACACAAAAAAATAAAACCATACACCGATATCTCTCATGAACACAGATACAAAAATTCTAAGTAATATACCAATGAACAAAATACAACAATATATTAAAAAGATTATACATCATGATCAAGTGGGCTTCATCCCAGGGGCACAGGGTGTATCGATAAATGTGATACAACACATAAACAAAATAAAGAATAAGAATCATATGATCATATCAACAG